TCGGATGTGATTGTTTGAATCAACATGCTGAATATTTAACAAAAGTTCATTGGACGAATTATCTTTAATCGATTTTTCATTCGTAAGAGAAATCATTTTGTTATTGAGAACTACGATTTCAGCAATTTTAATCATACTACCAATAATAGTCCAAATAAAAGAAGATACAACTTCTATGGAATGTCTCACATGAAATTCAGTTGTTTTTGCATTTGCATTTAGTAAATGATCTGCTACAATCGGAATTATTTCATTAATTTGCTTTGTTACATTATCACATTTATTTTGTAATTCATTAATTAATATTAAACAATTTTCTCCATTTCTCTTTAAATTTCGCAGTACACTTGTAAGCAATTGAGTTGTTAATTTCCATGTAGGAACTTTGACAAGTATGTTCAACATTGTCTTGATATAAGTCAACATTGATTCTAAATTCATTTGAATTTTTTTCATATTTATCTGTGCAAACACAAAAGTTAGCCATACTTCTAATAAACATAGAAGAATAGATTCAAATCTACATAGGTAATTAGAACGGCTTACGGTTTGAAATCGATTTTCCACACATAAAAGTCATGTTTTGATAGATATCAATCTTTTGAGCCAATGTAAAGAGCCGCTCGATCACATTAAAATAATACAATGCATTGCCTGATAACTTTTCCCAAAACACTTCTATTGATAGATTTTTCTTGCCTTCTGATAAATTCGATGCAGACGATTCTTTTTCGACAGTTGACAATTTTTCAGGGACAAAATCGTCATTATTTGTTTCGACTATTGGTATATCTCTTATAGATAGAACATTTTTTGTATCAACTTCAATAGTTCTATCACTTAAATTATTAGATATTTATGATATTTTTTGAAAAATTCGTACCTGAGATGATCGAAATATGGATGTTTAAGAGCGTTAGATGCTGAAATACGATTTTGAGGATCATATATTAACATTTGAATAAGAAGATCAAGTGTATCTATCGAACAAACAGTTAAATATTGACAAAAGCCAATACCTTTCTGAGGAGGAAAGTTAAAATTAATTTGATGATTTCGACTACAAAAGATGGATTGAAAATGAATGAATAAATATAAAACGAAAAATATTTACTGTTGCTCGAATTTTTTTAGCATTTCCATTGAAGGTGTTCCAAGCACTGTATGAATTTTATTGATTAAATCTAGTTCAGTTTTTCCGACAAAAAGTGGTTTCAATCTATTCATATCTTTATTAAAATTGAATTATACATTAAGAATACATACGTTAGAATTTCGAACATAACACATCCTAATTAAATAGCTTGCAAATAAATAAAAAGAATTTTGTTTTTTTTACGAACTTACCAGTTGACCAGATATCTACTGATTGTTCATAATATCCTTTAGTTAGAATACATTCAGGTGCTCGATACCTCAATAAAGTCAATTCAATATTGTTTAGTTATTCGATTTTATATGTTTCATTTCTTACCAACGAGTTGCAATATAATCTGTCAAAGGTCGTTCACTTGAAATTGATCGACACATTCCAAAATCAGCCAATTTCACATGTTCTCCCTAACCAAATTAATAAGAATATCCAACAAAATTGATGAAAATAATAATATACTTTGATGAGAATATTTTCAGGTTTGACCTATTTTATAAATTATAGAAACAATTAAGGAACATTTCAAAGAATTATTTTTACTTCAAACTGCAATTTTAAGAATTATATAACAGTAAGAATATCTCAAACGGATTGAGTTACGACACTAACATAGAGAAAAACAAAGTTTATTCTCATATTACTATTCATAAATTTTCATAAATCATTTTCAATTGTTTTACGAGGGAACTTCATCAAGTGATACCGTTCGTTTGAGCACTTATTGTGCTCATCAGTAAGGTTCATAGTACAAATAAACACCCTAAAAGGATTCGTGCCATTAGCACTTTGTTGCTGAGAAAAAGGAGTACAATATTTTCAGTAATTTTGATTATTTTCATATTTCAATGAAGGAACATCTGCATGAAATCATTTCATATATGATTACTTACTGTAAAAATATGAGTCTATCTGACTTGTCGGTCGACTAATATAGAGTTTTGCATCTGTCTTGCTTCGTATACAGTTGGTACAAATGATAATGAAAAGTGTGAATTGATTTTTGTTAAAGAAGAAGAGAATAAAAAATGAAACATATAAAGATTTGTAGAACTACAACTCAGATAGGCTCAGGTGTTTACAGCAAGTAATCATATCTGAGATGATTTTTAAAAGAAAATCTCAACTAATGAAGATGTTCCTTCATTGAAATATGAAAATAAACAAAATTACTGGAAATACTGTACTTTTGTTTCTACATAGATTTGTTACGTTTGTTTCTCATCAACAAAGTAGCAATGACATGAATCCTTTTGAAGTTTTTATCTATCCTATGAGCCTTATCGATGCGCACAATAAGAGCTCAAACATAGAGTATTAGTTGGTGAAGTTTCCTCGTTCGTGCAATGCATATTTTGAAGTTAAACATTTTTTCTCAATTTATGAAATTGATATGACCGTAGTTGTAAACAAAAATACACTATAAATGGTTATATCAAATTATTACTATTAATTTAACGATAGGATATGTTTTTTTATCAGATATACAAATATCATTTATTATTCACAGCATCATTTTATGACAGATAATTGATAACGAGAAAAAATTGGTGACATTTCTCCATACATTATCAATACAGAATTCTGTTTGCAGATTATATTTCAACGTATAATTTGAGAAAAAAAAATATAATTCTTTAGCAAAAATTGATGAAAACTAAATTTTGATCAATCGTCATATGACAATGTTTTAACATAATTTCTAGTTTTTCTTCATCTGTTTTGTTCTCTAGATTTGTTTATATACATTGCAACTTATTTGTGTCAAGTACATGAATACAACAATAACAATAGATCAATAACGTATTAGTATTATGGTACTCCTAGTCAAGTCTAAGTTCGAAATAAAAATTACATTTGTGGATATATTTTTCTAAGTTTATGAATGGTTTGAAAAACTGTAGACTTACATCACGATGAATAAGATCGTGTCTATTAATAATCATAACATACAACAATTTTGCTTTCAGATAGAAATTTCAATACCTATGAATATATTCAAGTGCTGTTAGTATCGAATATATGCATTTACAAACGATATTGTTGGGTAAAGGAGATGTACGATCTGTTTGACATATAAAAGAATAAAACAATTTGTTTAACATTAATTTTTACCTTTGATGTATATGTATAGATCCATATCCATCAATTCGAATATCAAACATAAAGATTCTGTTCGCTTGTTACTATACAAAAGAAAAAAAAAACAGGAGAAAAAATATTACAATTAATAAAAGCATACTAAACGATTTCTTCGAGTTCAACAATGTTGGGATGCTTATTTAGTTGTCTAAGCACTTTAATTTCCGAAATTGTATGGATTTCATTTATGCTGAAAAAAAATGACTTAATATGTTATCGAAAAAAAAAAAAGAAAAGTCGTTACCTCTTGTAAGTTTGTATAAGCTTCTTACAAGCCCACACTGATCCATCGGTAAGTTTCTCGCATTTGACTGCTTTGGCATATGCTCCTTCGCCCAGATTGCCAAGATAACGATATTCTGATAAAAAATAGAAATTGTAACTTATTCTCTTATAATTAATGATTCCATACTTGCCATTACTTTATCAAAATCCACAATATTTGTCACAGTATTAGTGTTGTCAACAATATTATTCGTCTTAAAAACTTTTCAAGTATCAAAATAATTCTGTCGTTAATAATCTTAAATATTTATTTCCTTTCTCTTATGCAAATAATCGTTGATATTTTATTGATTGTATGTTGGAAAAATATGGTCCACCCTACACAGTGACATATTCTATTCAATTTTTTTATTTTAATATGACTAATCGTTTATTGCACTATTACTTGCACCATATTTTTCGTCTATTCTCTCTTTAAATCACAACGATGGATTAAATTGGAAATAGAATCGATGACGAACTTAACTGGTGACATACAGCTTGATTACGTTATTTTTGATAGTTTTGTGCAATTTGTTCTATTTATGAAAAACATCGCAGGTTTTTTATTTTATTTGTCTTAGAT